TTTGTAGGCATTATGGTGTTTTACTTTTATATGGTCAGCACTTAGCTATAAATCATTTAGTTGGTACAAATCAAATTCGACTAATGATAGGTGATAATCTTCTTGATCAATCAACAACAGATGATACTCTGCCATATGTTCAAAAAGGCACACGTCTCAATTTACATTGTTGGCATACAAATATACCTTTTTCGAAATTTGCTTTTAAAATGGGTCACTATAATCAAACTCACTTAGAAAAATATAAAAATGACAAAACTGTTCAAGCTTATGTACGAAAAAGAGAAAATTGAGAAAGAAAGATGCTAAAAACATCTATTTATAATTTGTATTTTAGGCAATGCGCATGGCACTTGAATCAAAATATATGACACTCGAAGAATTGGCTTCATATGGAAGAAATAAATCTTTGCCATCTTAAAATATATTAAACTATTATAGTCTTTTATTGAACAATTACAATATGATTCAAATCACAAACTATTATAAAGTATCATTTTATTCTTTATTTATTTATTATGCATATACAACTGCTTGAAATTTCATAATAACAGAGTTTTATGTTGATTCAATAGAAAAAACAACCCTATTTTTGTGAAAACATCAGCGTATGAGTATTGTATTTCGATTTTTATTGTTGCTGTGATATTGTTGCTTTTGTTTTGGTTAATAATAAAAGTCATTGGTGTCACATCTGCGAAAGTCAAATGTGAAACACGATGTAGCTTTTCATTCTAATCACAGGAAGATCGTTTTGTTTTAACTATTGTGATACATATATCTTCACCATCTTCTTGATTAATCCTCGAGAAATGCAATAAAGAATTAATTCGTTCATTATAAAGAAACGTTATTGATATAACACAAATAATGTTCTTAATGGAACAACTGCATTTTGAAACTTTTAGCTTTCTTCGTTGTTTCTATCATGAGATACGATTACAAGCACAAAACTTGGGTGTTTTTTTTCACACAAAAGAATTTTAAGGATGCATAGCACATGACAAAAGCAATGGAAAAAAAACTGAAACTTTCACAATAAACTAGTCACATTCATAATATTATTTGTGAAAAATTTGACGTCGAAAAATTGAAAGTCAACTTCCAACGTAACCTGAGGACGACTACGATTTTTTTGTTGAAAAATTCAATAAAAATTCGATATCATAAGAATGAAGGTTTATGAAGTTAGATCATTCTTTGCTCTTTCGCCGTTCACCAATACCCATCAAATGAATATAACATCGACCCAGAAAAGATTCAGCACTCCGAGAGGTACCCTCGTGAGTTATCAAAGTTTCCTGATAAGAATTCCAAAGTTAGAAACTATCTATGGATCGCGTTTAGAATCAAACGATCGATGTAGAAGTGTCAACAAACATATATTTGAGTTAGTATTGTCTATTGGAAATTTAATCGACCTGATAGATAAATAACTATTATACAAGTCACTCTGAATGGCTCTCCATGGAACGTTATAGTTGGAATGTCGTATCTCAATAAAGACTTAGCCCCACATCTTTGTGAATCCACCAAAGTTGATTTATGACATGCTACATCTGATAGTAAATTAAAATTCCTATAAAAATGAGAATCTAAGATGTATTTAAACGCATATATACAGCAGCTTTAATACTAGTTACAAAATACGATCAGATTTTATAAATCGATTTTGTCGCCTGGGTGTCCACTGTATGTGTGGGAGAAGAGGAGCAGATGTGGCCAGACGAGAAATAGAGAATTTAATCTTTTATCTCTATACTTCAATACTCTTGTTAGGTCGTATATTATTAAAAAAATAGTCGAATACAATGTGAGTAAATTCTAACTTTTAGGTAGAATTGAAATTTTAGCTAGATTTGTCTAATAGCTTTTGTTTCTATCAACTGATTTGAACAAGTTCTTTTTACATGTGTTTCTCTTGTAGCAGTCCTATAATAGAACAAAATCTCAGCTGCCTACATATCATAGTGTCACTCACCCGTGAAAAACGTATTATAAGAAAAAAGTATTCTTTTTTGTAATGTGTGCAAAGAAAAATTTTTTTATCAATAATAAAACACCAGAAACAAGGTTTGAATAATCTATTTAATACAGCATTTGATGCTCTCTTAAAATAAGTCTTTGATTTCAATGTAAGCTCTTATTCATTGTCTTTTCTAACACCTATATTGTTTGACAAAACATTTGTATTAGTTTTTTGTAGAGCGACACAAATTCGTTTCTATCTCGTTTTGTGATAGAACTGGTAACATACATACTATATGAAATGACAGGGAACTTTGTCACTAACATTTTAACAAGAAAAATGTTCTCTTTTCTCACACCGGTTTTACATAAAAATGACACGACTTTCTAGAAAAAGACCATTATGCTCACTTTGTTCAGTCACGCGCTGAAGACAACTTGCTCTATAGTTTTTCAGAGAATTTTGTGATTTGTTTCAAATTTTTGCAGTAGGCGTAGAACATAAAATTCTATAAAAAGAAAATATTTCAGACTCTAACTTTATTGTGATCAGAAGAATCTTACATTTTAATTGAAATATGTTGAATGATGCTATTTTTGCAGATATTTTCTGTTGAATCGATTCGAGAAAAAAGTTGTTTTCAACTATGATTCAACTCAGTAGAATTCAATAATTAAATGTCGTTGTATTGTGAGATTTTGCCCATTGCTGATTTTTCACACAGAGCTCGACATGGCATGAACCAATTTTAAATAAGTAAAGTCAATCTTATCATTGAATTAATCAGAATCCAACCGTGTAATTTGTGCTTCGTTTAGTATGCAATAAAACATTGGAAAAAAATGTTTACTACATAACATAGATATGAAGTAGAGATACGTGTTCTAACTTGACCATGAAAAAATAGCGCATCTAATATTTACTCGATAACTGGAACAGAATGTGTGATTGAGAAATCATCTTTCCTTTACAGAAAAAAGTAAATCTTTTTCTATCGATTGATGTAAAACTAATGAAGAAAAGATTCATTAATCACTCGAGAAAAATGCGATAGTAGAGAGGGAGTCAAATTTTATTGAATTTTAGTCCATTCCTAAATCTGTCGATTTATGTATTGTTTCATCCTACTTCTACCATTTACATACAAAAAGTTCAATATGTATTAGAAAA